TTGTCGATTTTTCATTCGCATTTAACCTCATTTTCTAAAACATGCAAAAAAGAAGTATAACTTCAAAAATAATTAGGAATAAGTTCGTTAACTTTTTCGAAAGAATATTCATTTAGCAAAAATTCGTTTTTTGTTTTTTCTTTTGCTTGACGTTACGGTGGTGTCGATGCACAGATGCAGTTGCAGTTTAGCAGGGGTGAGGGAAGGGGGCGGTTTCGAACGAAAATGGAAATTTCCATCGATCGGATACGAAAACGTCTTTCATCGTAAACGAGAAGAGAGGAAACGTGTCGCGTGGTTTTGCGGAGCCAGCATTTTCCTCCTTTGTGTTTTGGCACCGAAAAGCCAGCCGCAGGTCTCCTCTACGTGTCGGGCATCGAAATTCAGCGCGCGATAGAATTCAAATTGATGGAAGAGGAAACAATAACTACGATGCGGTTATTCTCCTGCCGTTGCTTTTACACTCCTGTCGTTGTTATTGGCTGTTATCGTTGTTGTTGTTGTTGTTACTCTTGTCTCGATTCAGATCGATATACGAAACGTTTTTTATCGGATTGTTATACGCGTATTTAGCTGTTTGTCTAAATCCACGTTCAACTATTTATTACGATTTATGTTTAACATTTATTCAGCATTGTTCCTGTTATCGTTTGCATATATATGTAACAATTGGATAAATGATTTATCGATTTAAAAGATTAAAAAGTAATCTTCTTCGAGATAACTCAACGCTTCAATCTATTTTCTTCCTTTTAATTCGTTGACTTTTTTAAAAATGAAATTTGTTCTATGGGAATAGAGAAAAGGAATGAGAATAAATTAATGATAGAAAGATTCTTTGAAATAATGTTCTAAGCATTATTTTATTTTTCATCATACTTTTTATCAATTAAACGTTCCAATTGTGAGGATCTTCCTCGTGCAGAAAATCTTCTTCGTTTATAATTCATAAACGCATTTTAATGTGTACACGAACAAAGACAGTTAATCGAATGTTATATAACAAAGTATTAATATTAAATATGCAAATGATTCTTTGTAAAAATGTTTATAAGTACTATGGAAGTATGAAATTTCATAGAAATTGACTAAATCGTGTCAGGAATAGTTAGATTGGCAAATGTTTAACGTTGAGGAAGTATCCCCGTTTGGGAAATCCTTATTGTGGTGTGTATCAAATATCTGAGAGACGAGGAAACTGGACGGCTGGTTGGATGATACATAAAGGCGCCTCGGACAAGGTGTCTTATCTCATCGCGACCACAGTATAAAAGATAGCGTCTTTAAACAGGTATCTTCAGTAATTGGCGACTACTATCGTGTGTGTGAACTCGTATTTATCGTACTTTTGGTACATCGATTATTTCTTTCATTTTTCATCCGTGAAATAATCATCAAACTATCTCTTATTTATTTCAAGTTTATCTTATTTTTTTTCTCTCTCGTTGAAAAGTCACGAGTGCGAGGAAAAAAGAAAATACGATAAAATATAAATCTAAGAATTGTCGAATCGTTGCGTGAATCGGTTGACGACAACATTTCGCGTGGATATATTATTGTTTTTAAAAGAAAAATATATTTAAAAAACAATTTCAAATTGAAAATTGGTGAACTTGAGAAATAATCAAAGTGATTTGAAAAGTAATTTGGGGAAAACAGGGGATAGGATAAATATCGTGTGTTCGCGTAAGTGTACGAAAGTGAAATCGGTTGAAGTAGCTAGGGACACTTATGAAGGGGTTTGACTTCGTACCGAAACTCAGCATCGATCAGATTAAATATATTTGGGACATCGATTGGAAACAGTAGCCGAGCCAAGGTACGTTTCTTATTTTTTTAATTAGGATAATCGTCATCGTCATCGTTATCGTCGTTCTTTTAGTCAACGCGTTACTACCAATTATTATACTATTCTACTATTACTTACACTTATACTAATAGTAATTATACTTTCAAATTACCGGATAAAAGCAGATAGGAACGGATAGAATTGCACCAAATTCGCAGACAGAATTTATTTCTGGTCAGATTATTGCGAAACGTTCGAGTTTCAAACAGATATTCTTGGATTCGTTCTATCTCCTATTTATTACTATTATTTTTCTCTTCATTTTACTTACTCATTCTTTTTTTACCCTGTTGTTTTTCATTTGCACAAGAGTCGTGCCAAAAATAATAAAAGTTTATCTCATTATTATATTAATTAATTTAGAAAATTTTCTAATCAAATTACACGTGCGTTGTGTGTGTGCAATTGAAATACTTTCACGTGTATAATCAGATGAATTTTGTTCTTCTAAAAAATATAATCTTTCGAATAATCTAATATTTAATAAAATTTCACTACGAGAAAATATTATTATACAAAAAAGGGTATGAAATTATTATATTACGAAGACCTCATGTATTTCTTCGGAATATTCGATGATTCGATATATAATTGTGTTCCTTTGATCGACGGCTCGTATCAATTGATATTGGACAGGATTTCTATCATCGGCAAAGCTTTAGGTAAGGCTTCAGACCTACCAGTGTCTACCTTTAAGCATTGACTCGATTCTCTCTCTCTCTCTCTCTCCTTTGACAATTCGCGCGTGCACGTTTGCTATTAATCCATTGATTTGATGTCGAACACGCGAAGGGAACCTTCTTGAATTAATATGAAATTACACGAGGGAGGACGACGAATAGGCAAAGGTAATAACGCGAACTAGATCTATCCTGTATCTTGAGAATGTATCGGAGACGAATGAATTAAAAAAAAAAACTATATAAAAAAAAGAATCAAGAGACACACCTAGTGTGACCACCTAAAAAAAAGGTGATTTTTGGGAATTTTTTTTAAAGGAAACTACTGCATGAAATATTTTACAATTTAGAGGATATATTTATGCATAATTAACAAATATTCAGTAAAATTTTTAAATGAAAAAAGGTCATTTTCAACGAGTTATTCGCTATTTCCCAAGTCACTGAAAAAAAGGACGTAAACGGCTGCAGTGAGTCCGGCCTTCACCGTGGATGAAATAAAAAAAAAATAATGTTAATCTAGAAGGTATTGCTTATAGAATGATCTAAATTTGTGAAAAAAAATTGAAATTTAACAAACTGGCAGACTTTTAACAAAAAAAACATCGAATTTTGCTGAAAATTTTGATGATTTTTGACCCGCTAAAATTACATTTTTTTATACAATCGACAAACTTTTAGATCATTGTACAAAGAAACATATATGAAATAAGAAGAAAATAAAATCAAAGCGATCGGATGATTCTTGTTCGAGTTACAACTGCAGCCAATTTGAAAAATGTGGTTTTGAGAAAAAACGCGTTCAAAGATAAAATGATTGCTTTCTAATCCCTGAGTGGCTACTATTTAGAAGGCTATAATTGAAATATTTATTTGAAATTTCAGTATGTTTTTTTTAAAGATATAAACTATCGAAATATGTAAAAAAAAAAAATCAATTTTTTCAAAATTTCACACTAGGTATACCCCTTAAATTAAACAACCACTCGGAAATATTTTTGTTTGAAATAATGGATTCTCAAATTGGTCCACTTTACGACCAAACCCACCTTTTATTTATTTATTATTAAATATTTTCGTTAATTTTCTTTTACTATCGTAAACTCGTACAAATATTGTACGCATAGGAATGAATGAACGAATTTTCGATCATTTTGGTCATATTTCTGCAACTCCGTTTGCAGTTGTCAGGAATATAATGCGTGTTTTCATTCCTTACAATGTGCATTCAAAATGTAAGATTCAGTTCTTTGGAAAATTTCGAAACGTTAACGTTTATATCTTTCCCCCACTCTTCGTGCCCTTACTATGCCGCACCCTGCTGGGCCCGCTTACAAAGGGTCTCTTCCTATTTCTCCACTGGACGCCCACGAGGACACATCAAGCATAGTAAATTAGGGCTACCTACCGAAAAAGAGAAGTATAAGCAATCTGACATACTTCTACAAACAAACGAGAGGTTAGACACATTCATTATTGTATTATAATTCACAATTAGGGTTTTTATACTGCAAAGTTTTTCCCTGAGGAGCCAGGAAAATATTCTATTGTCTATTGGCTCACACACACAATCGCATGTTTATTATTTTAATTTAACACGTTCGCGGACGGTAAAAGTTTCAGTTAGGAGGAAAAAAAAGGTGACAGTCATTTTATTTTACAATTAATATCCAAAATTTGATTAAACAAATTTTATAAAGGCAGTCAGATAAATCAAATATTAAATAAACAGTTAGTCATTACTTTTACAAGTATAATAATTACAAAAATGTATGGTTTGTGTATAAAATAATTTATTTAAAATAAAAATTAAAAATTTGAATGCTATAGTATTCAAGTTCGCGAACGTGTTAACCCTTCTTTGCATGATTTTTTCTTTTTTTTTAAAATAAATCAGGGTGATGTAATTAATGCTCTAGATTAAANTATTCAAGTTCGCGAACGTGTTAACCCTTCTTTGCATGATTTTTTCTTTTTTTTTAAAATAAATCAGGGTGATGTAATTAATGCTCTAGATTAAATCCTAGTGCTATTTTTTGACAACTGCGTTTTGTTGTACGCAATAGTCGCTTAAAAAGTTGCCAGCAACAACAAATATACAGTACAAGGGTTTTGAGTACCTTTTTTTCTTGACTAAATATTATGATTGAAATTTCCATCATCATGCAAAGAAGGGTTAATAATCTTTTTCATCATCATTAATTTATTAAAATCACCAGAGGATTTCATGTTGAAGAAATCTGTGTATCATACAAACACTATGACGTGCCACGTTTTAAATCATAAAAAAATGTAAAAGAAATGACAATCGTTCTATTTTAGTATTTGAAATTAATGGAAATTGTCAATTATTTCGCGTTGATGTCGTTAATAATCTCGATCATGTTTCGTTATCAATATTGCTTGTCAAAACGACCTTGTTTTTCCTCATATTAGTTCCTCCTTTCGAAGACAATGACCATTTATCTATCTATCTATCTATCTTGAATGATTCATGATGAAAATTATATAAAAAGAAATTGCAACTTCCTGTCGAGGTATGTTTTTTTAATTCCAAACAATCGTATTCGATTTTTCCATAGATGTTTT